CAGGGGAAAATTCAGCCCATTTAACAACCGTGGCCCTGACGTGTAGCACACCGAGAACAGCGACGGCACACCGAGAACAGCGACGGCACACCGAGAACAGCGACGGCACACCGAGAACAGCGACGGCACACCGAGAACAGCGCCACATTTCACGCCGGCGTCAGCATTAAGCCGGATTCGGGCTGGCCACTAAACTCCGCTTTCGCTATATCAGCAGCACCTCCAGCTCCCTCTCTCCCTCTCCCTCTCTCCCTCCATCTCTCTTCCTCTGCCGGCGGCTGCGTCCACTCCCCTCACCAGTCACCGCCACGTTAACCTGAACCGCAGTTACGTCAGTCTGTGCCGCTGATCCGCTATAAGTCTCCGTTAAGCGTTCCGGAGCACTATATAAACAACGTTCAATTTAACGGAATTAACGCAGCAATAATACAAAGATTCTTCAAATATTTCAAGTTCCCGGGCGTGCTGACTACCTACGGAGAGCGTGCTGACTGACTACATGCAAAATCGTGCTCCTTAATGAAAGACAATTATTAGGATTTGGATTAAAGACTAACCAGCTAACCCATGGCTAAAGTGTAAACATGTCTATTTTTAAATTTCCAAAGCACCCAGCTGACACGCATTGAAAGGAGACAAGCTGACCATGCGGATGGAAAATAAGATCACAATAAGAGGAATTTAAAGACACGAAACTCTGAATAGTTCTGGTTTAACATCCGTAGTTAGTAATCCGGTTAAAGTAACTCAAGCCTAATGCAGCTTGTAAAGGTTGTCAAGTCTAAGTAAACTGCAAACACTCCCACACACACACACACACACACAGGCACACAAAGACATACACCCAAACACACACAGGCACAGACACCCAAACACACAGACACAGAGAGACACGCAGACATAGAAACACAAACACACACACACACACACACACACACACACACAGCTTCACCTACCCTCTCCAATTTTAAGGGCCAAGCGATGCCCATTTCACACCTTTAGGGGGGTCAGCTGTGAGACAAAGGTCACCCATAAATGCCACGCAGGGGGTGACTCCTGGCTGCGCTGCCTTTGCCAAAGTAAAACGAGAAACCTGAGAACGAGGGGCATGCCGAAGAAACCTGAAACCACGAGCCACTAACCCAGATCGTTACGTAACCACATCGACTAGGTAGGTCACCTAGTTACGACAGATAAGCGCTCAGGCCGCGCTGACCGTTTATCGCAGCTAACCTCAAACGCATACGTGAGCTAGCTAAATCGCCCTATCTGACGTCGAACAGCGCTTCCTGCCCAGCGATTATGGTGCAACAAACTCTCCTCTCAAAATGTCACTTTACAGAGGACATGTTTTCGCAGTATGTCCAGAGGAGGGGGACAGTGTCCACGAACAGCCCCTGTGAGCAGGGTTTCCGAAGCGATGCGTCGCCGAGATCAGCCAGGGGACAATCTGTGCTCACTTCCTCGCTTCGTGGGGCATCGTGCTGCGGGCAAGACACGCCTGGGACACCAAGCCTCGGCCTGCACCGTGACTCGGAGCGTCTCGCGGACGGAGGGAAAAGCAGAAGGCAATCCACGCTGTAGACCGAAAACAGACCTTGCTTGCTCACCACGTAATTGGAAGTACTGCGTCCGCCCCCCGGAGAAGAGGCACCAAAGCCGGCACGCCGTGGCACATCGGCAAGCGGCGGGGACTCATTTGAGGGCGGCAAGACGAAACACGCTCAGCGCTCCATAACAGCCCCAGCCCTGTTTATATCGCCGGATGACTGTTCGGGGGGGGAGGATGGGAGTGATTGTGATTTCATAGAATAGAACTGCAGCCAGGAGTGAACACAGCAGCTTTTTCAACCACCCCCCAACCCACAAAGCCTCCTGCTCACCCCAGAGAGCAACAACAAGCCTTTCGGAATTCAGCCCCCACCGAGGTGGCCAGACTCCCATTATCAATTAAGAAACATCGTGTCTGGGCACGCAGAGGACCAGCACGGCAGAATCCATGCATCTGTGGCAAAGCCCGCAACATGCTGGACATCGAAATCTGGCAACCCTGGTATGGATACAGACAAAGACAAACACACAGCGAAGGCCTCCCCAGATTAAGGCAGAGGGACCCCAGGATGTCTGCGCCGCCCCCCCCCCCGCCCATAAAGGCTTCTCTAATATTGTGAAACCCTGTGATATTAGCAGGCTACGCACACAGCGGGGGCAGGGACGCACCAGCGGAAATCACTTTCCTCCATGACTGGTTTGCCAAACACAAAGACACAAAGAGGTACCCAGAGGCACTCGGTGTACAGAGCCGGCAAGAGCGGGGGCACGAGATCCGCCCTGCTGCCCCCCAGCCAGGGGCGTCTCCCGTTACGACTTCCCGGACAAACGGCACCACAGACAGCTGTTACCTTCAGAGGTGTCCCCACGGTGAAAGGTGGATAACAGAGGGGGGGGGGGGTCGGAGAGGGTCATGGGAAGGAGCCATGGGGGCATTTTGGGGACGGGCGCCGGCAGTTCTCACATCAAGTGCTCAGGCTGCCACCTCCGCCGCAATCGGCGGTCACCTGACTGCAGGCGTAATCTGACCTAAATACGACGGGGGAAAAACGCGGCTTAGACGGCGGGCCGGGACTGCAGGGCTGGCACCAGAACCAGCGCCTGAGATTCAACGAAAACGGGACCGACGTGAATCCGGGGACCAGCATCAAATTACCACCTGCAACAGAGCAGAAACAAACACGCACAGCAATGCTAATCTCAGAGCCTTAATCCCATCGTCCATAAGAGGCCGCGTTCTCCTCTTAAGACAAATAAACCCATCTTAACTAACAAGCCAGGCCCCCGGCTCAAGACACCACCATGGCGTAAAGCCCCGGGTTAACCGAAAGACACCGTCCGGACGACGGTCGGCCAACGAGGATGCGGTAATGCCATGGCGGAGCGCTTCGCGTCTCGCGGCGCCTTCGGACGCCCCGGGAACCGGTTAAAGCTCAAAAATCGGAAAACAAGCAAAATAAATGCAGAAGAAAGAGACCATTCACTCTGAGCCGGTCTTTGGTACTTTTCCTCAATAATACGCCGATATTCCCAAGGCAGGCGAGCGGCCGAGCTTTCAAGGAGCTCGCTGCCAATTCCCCGTCTGAAACCTGAACTCGCCGGGAACAATACTCCTCTGTTCACCACGCGAAGGAAAAAATTCATTACCGATCTCGGCCTGTTCTGGCCAGAAAGGCTTTTTGGGCCATGAGTATAATTGAAGTGAAAGGGGCTCCTCTTCTTCTTTCAGGCTGCGCGCCGCAATTTTCTGGTGAGGAATGGCCAGAACCGGGCCGACGGGAAACGTCAAAGTCTATTACACAGAGCGGGGGCTTATCAATGGGCGCTTATTTCCACAAAAAAACGAGAAATCGCCGCCATCGCAGCAGGCCAACCTCCTCGGCGGACGTCAAGCGCTAGGTTAGCGCTCATTACACAAACGGCTCCAGGTTCCATACAGTATCGACACAAAGCTCCCTCTTCCCGGGGATGTCTGGGATACCATTCTCCCAGACCAGAATCCCCTTCTGCCATATGCTAATTAGCTGGGAGGAAATGGAACGAAGAAAATCCAGCCCCATCCCCAGATGGAAAAGAAACATTCCCGGAAGGATAAAAACTAATCAGAAGGTCCAAACGCAAACGGGCCTGCTCATCTAGAACCAGCGAGAGAAGGTGACCCAAGTCTGCATCTTACCTTGGGCTGGGCGCGTCTAGGAAAGGCAACTTTGGGGTCGATCTGCGGAGGGATGAAAAAAACAGCGAGAATGTAAACATTACAAATCATACTTTCATTTACACATTTAGAAAGGAACAGCAAGCACAGAATGGGGGGGGGGCAGGGGTTAAAAAAAAGGATAATAAATGCAGACAATCACAGCATTTTACCCGCGAGTGTGAGATGCAGCCCCCCCTCCCCCCCCCCTGTAATAACACAGGCAGAGAATCAGATCAGCACCTCCACTCTCCCACGTTCCTTACAGTGCTTATCGTCCTCACTAATTACATTTGTAGCGTTTGGCTCATACCACGGCAAACGCGGGGAGCGGCGTTTCTCAGAATTAGCAGAGTATTCCTGTTAAAGTCATTCGACGCACCACAGCTCAAGAAGAGGCCGAGTACTTTCCCACAATACGATGAAATGAAGGGAGAGATGTGCCACTTTTACTCTGGCGTTCCTACGTGTGCTAGAGGCCGAACTGTCCATAAGGCCGATATTTTTATTATAGCCTAATGGCCAGCTTTAAAAACTTATTTTTTTTTTATCAACCAAACGACATAAAACTAACAATGAACTACCTTGAAAAGATCGAAGGCATCAGTGCAAAAAGAAACATCATGTATTTAGGAAAATCAAAGCAGATGTGAGCCGGTTCATTTTTTTTGGATCATCCTCAAATCTTCAGAGGATTTTCCACACCTGATCTTAAAGGGACAGAGGCTGTCTCAGCTTTGGATGACAAGGTGGGCGCAGGTGCAGCGAGGTTCGACTCAGACGGCTGTTCTGTCCTTTTTTAGCACAATGCTAATGCTAACTTACGAGCATAAATATGATCTAAAAAAAAAAAAAACTAACAAAAGAAGAGGGGGAAAAAAAATCCTGTAGAGTGACAGACACCTGAACACTGCTTTCATCCAAGATTCATTACGATTCATTCCAGGCCCTTCCAAAACCCAAAAGGACATCGCTACCATCAGCCTTTGAAGGCCATCTTCAGAGATCCAGGTGGTCTCCCCCGCCTGCACCCCCCCCCCACCCCCGTATTATTTCCAGAGGTTACCGTGACGCACAGTCAATGACCCATTTTGATTTCATCGATTCCAATTAAGCGGCAGGGGGAAATAAAAATGCGATGTGTTTACGGGTACACCTCTAGGCGCCTTGGTGCCAGGCAGAGCGCTGGCGAAGACCGGCTGAGGCCCAATTCTCCTCAAAAGTAGATATCGACCACATTTAAATAACACTAGCTCTGAAAAACAAAACCACTTAAACCCAGAATAAAAGGAATCCAAAACAATCTATGGGACCATTCAGGGACTCTCTCTCTCGCTTTCCTTGTGATCTGTTCATCTCACTTGCTATTTTTACACACACACACACACACACACACACAAAAAAAATATACGTCATCCCTTTCTCTCTCTTCTTCCAAAAATATAACCAGTAATGATGTGCAGAACAGGCAGAAGCTCGTGTACACGGCCTATGGCCACAGGAAGACAGAGCAGTCACCCCGTCATTTGGTTACTGCGACCCGGAAACGCACTTTGACCATAAGTCACCGCTGAGGAACGGCGACTCTGTTCCCCCACACACCGGCACCCGAGCGGACAAAGCAGCAGGCAAGCAGAGAGTCCGGGGCCCATTTGGCAATTATCGCTCGGCCCTGAATGCTATGAATAGTTCACAGTGTCTGCTAAACCCCCCCTCCCCTCCCCCAAACGTTAACATCTCTTCCCAGGGCAGAAATGACTTCAGGAAAGAAAGTGCATTAGTGGATTGTTACAGGAATACACACTGCAACATGGTAGGAAATGTCTTTCCATTCATAAGGACCAAGAAAAAGGTTTAGGGTTAAATACTTCATAAAACACAGCGCTTCAGAAATAGCACAAGCTATGAGTTAAGCCAATCAGAAACAGCCATCTTAAATGACTTAATAACACTGCCGCATTATCATTAACATCACCTACAGAAATAGTTTGCATATCTTATCATTTCATACACAGATACTTAAACCAACTGCAGCCTGGAATTATACTTGAGTAAAAGTTTTGAAGTGTGAAACTTCAGGTCACAAGTATAGTTCCTAACCACTACTCCACCTAATGGTAGAAGAGTGAAATTGCACTCGAGGAAATGGGATCTGTAAATTGAACTGCTTTATCCTGATGCGTTTCTTCTAGAAATAGACGACACACCGTGACAGGGCCCAAAATTAACTTCTTAATTCCATTTTGTCAAAATCAAAGCAGGCAGAAGTAACACAAACATGGGTCACGTTCACATTCACAGACACCGGCCCGTGGGTCACGTGACACCGACATTTTCACAATAACTGCACACATCCGATTACATAAATCAGAAACAAACTGGTTATCAGCCAAGATGAATTGCGATGTAAATTATTCACCAGACACCAGCTCATGTGCATTCGAATACAGAACTGGGTGTCTAACAGACGGAAGAGACACCCCCCCCCCACAAATAACTGCTGAATGGGCACCAGTAATAGTGCCTAATGATCTCTGACAACCACGGGAGAAATTATTAATATCTGCGATGTCTGACAGATAACCCCGCCAATACCAAGCATTCCAGAAGCGGCCCAATTACCCAACAATGAACCTGACGGGGGTGCCGAAAAGCACGGCGTCCCTTTCTGCCTGAGGGGCATGCCCCTGAAACACCACAAACATGGTGGGAGGGAGCCCGGAAGGTCGCCGGTTCAAATCCCTCCGTTTGAGACAATGACATCACTGCTGGACATCTGAGTGAGGCCCTTAATCCTAACTGTTCCAGGGACTGACTGACCCTGTTCACTCAAAAAAAAAAAAAAAAGTGTACATTGTTTTGGATAAAAGTGTCAAATAAATGAATTTAAATATAACAAAATATATAAATAAAGTACGCCTGGAAAGAAAAAAAAATTATTCTTATATGAAAACCAGAACGAGAAAACAAGAAAAGAAAATGGCAGCATTGATGCGACCAGAGGTGAAGCAGCGTCTAGAAATGCGATGAGGCTGCGCTGATGTAGTGCAGGGTGGCACGTCTGCGCGCCCCAAAGCTCATTCCGCAGACCCACCTGGACGCACCTTTCCGGAAGCCTAACCAGCCCGCCAGCCGTTCCGGGGCGCGATCCTGAAAGCGCCGCGTGAAAACCAGGCCTCAGCTTAGCGCCAGCTTTACCTGGGCGCTTAAACAAAACAAAAAAACACAACAAAAACTGCTTTACAATTTAAAAAGGTAAGCAGTGTGGCGAGGGGAGGAGGCGCGCTTCCGCAAACCGGGCAGGGAGCCCCCATCTGAGGGCTCCTCCTTTGTGAGGAGATGCCGGGTTGACTCAACGAGAAGCAACAGCAGCTCCAGGAGGTTTTAAAAAAATAAAAAAAATAAAAAAAAAAATAAAAGAGCAGAGAATATTTCAGATCCCCGGGGGGAAGACAGAGAAGGGAGGGTTCTGGCCCGCCACGCTGGATAAGCCCTCGTTAGTGTACATGACGTGTTTGGGCAGAGGGGGCTGCTGGTATATGGGGGGGGGGACAAGAGAGAAGCGGACCGTCGATTGCAGCAAGATCAGAGAGGTGCTCTTATCAGCGAGGCCACGGTTCACCTGCTGCCACTCAATTTCACAACTTAAACAGAGAGCGCTGCCGCACATGCACGGCCCCGACTGCCGGGACCGCTCCTCCGACACTCGCTCCCGCGTCCCCCACCTCCTCCTGGCATCGTCACCCTCGATCTGCCTCCCTGACACACCGATCACAGCCGCGATGTTCCCCTCCACCCCCGCAGCCGAGCGGACCGAACCTCCAAGTGTCTCAAATAGGCAAATGTGCTACACTGATTAAATAAAAAGAAAAGGAAAAAAAAAAAACATAAGCAGCATTTCGCACCCTTGCGATGCCAGGCTAACCTCCGGCATGCATTTTTACACACGACAACCCCCCCCTCATTGCCATTCTGCTGCCGGTCCACCCGTGTACTTGCCAAATAATGTTATAATGAGTTAAAGCCGTCGCCTCTGCCAGCGATCACAAGGGAGAACACAGGCACTGGATGGTCATAAGGCGCTGTCTCTCTCTCTCTCTCTCTCACACACACACACACACACACACACACACACACAGGTGAGGAAGCTGAAGTAACGACGAGAAGCACGAGAACATTACGGTTCTCGCTCGGCTGATGAACCCCGCAGGCCACCGCCAATCCACCAGCGAGTAACGCCATAAATAAGAGAGAGACATAAACAGCCACACAGACAGCAGACAGAATGACCTCCTGCGGAGGTTAACCGGCAGTCGCTTTCACACACCTCTCCACCGTAGCTGAGCCCAGGTGCCAGGCTGCCTAGCCGAATATTATTAAAATTATAGGGCCAGGTATTTTCATTTAAAAGAAAAATTGACATCTATGAAAAGCATCCTTCTGCGGTTTGCACAGCTAAATTCAATCAGCTGGGGACAGCTGTGCGTACAGGTACTGCCTGTCCCCCCAACCTCCGAGCACATTCCACTCAGAGATCAACTTTTATAGAAACGCACTGAAATTTTTTTTTAAATCTAATTTTGTTTTAAACCACTTCTTCTGAGTTTGTGCTATTAAACGGCTATTTAAAAAAATGCACAATGTTATCGGGCACTACGAAAACGCGCCCGACAGATCACGCCTGACACAGTGCACAGACACAGGAGCACAACATTTCAGCAACGCTAAATCAAGAGGTTTCAGCGTCCAGCCTTTATTTTAATCTGCAACAATTAAAAATTACAACACATGAGCGGAGTGGAAACAAGAAATTATTTATATGATCTACATGCACCTTTTGTGTTGACTAAAAACTGCAAGAAGGAGAACTGAGATCTACTCCTCCAATAATCAGAGTTTTCCAACAAGTGTTTCCTGTTAGTTTCAGCTAATGACAAATAGGGACTCAGGAGAGAAAACGTCAACTGAGTGACATATTAGGCATGGATGAACAACCTAGAATAACCACCTGTTTACTGTAACCTGTTTATTTTAAAAACAAAATGTGTTGTCATTTTATCCATGTCCAACATACCCTTTTAATAAATGTCCAGCATGACTCAACAATGAAAATAATTTTTTAAATGATAATTTTTCAAATTCAAATCCAACAATCCAACACCTGCATTTGTTACAAATTTATTAAACTGAAAAACATTAAAGAGCATATCTGAGTTTTAAATCATACATTTAAAAACATTCTGATCTTCAAAAACAAAAAAGGCAATAGCCTAGATGCCAAATTCAATACCAATATAACAGCACAGGGGGAAAAAAAACACATTTAGCAACACAATTGCAGACAAAATTGCATTCAATGGTTCAAAAGCTTCAAACTACAAAGAAAAAAAGCATCGTTCATATTTAGAGGATTTGTGCTTCATCAATACATTAAATCCAGAAGTGCACATGTATCCACCAAAACAGTATTTGCTTAAATTTTATTTAATAGCACAATATCAAATGTCAGAAACCCAGCAAGAGAATAAATGTGATCGACATGCAATCTGTCCACACATGAACACAGTCACATCATCACAGGCAGAGGTTTATTAAAAAATATAATTTAAACATGTGGACATATCTAGCCCAGTATTTCAGCAGTTTTGATTTCCTCAGTTAAATAGCTCAAGGAAGGTTCTTTAAAAGGTGCGCTGGCATAACAGGCGCTGCTGCTGTAAAAGGGTCTTAAATAGCCTTTGAAATAAATATTAACGTTTGAAGAAAGTAAGCCTTTATAACAACTGCCCCCCCCCCCCCCGAAGCTAGGCTGTGGGGTGGGGGGCAGCTTTTAATACCGCTTTATTGAAAGGTTTCGAGTAAGTACATATTAGGGGTAGGGAGGGGGGCGGTAAATTAATATGTTCCAGTAAACTGCTCTATCAGTGCTGGTAAGCTCTCTGGGCACATTCTTCACGCAGAGTAAAACTGACAAGTGTCTCGAACCATTATTACAAAACGCTCCCAGAGAATGTCATATCTACCCAGTTTTAAATACACACGAAGGCAGCATAAAGCCTTGTATCACCATTTTGACATCCTAGGGCAGACTAATAAAAAAAATCATCCCATAACTAAAAGGAGTGGCAGTGAAAAGAAAGAGTGTAGGATACAATTTCAAGCTTAGCTAAAGGGAGGGGGGTAAAAAAAGCCACTTTTGAAAGCAATTAAGTGGTGCTTTAAGCGCACTGGGGAAGTGAAGGACTTGGGTATGGAAAGGGTTAATTGAGATAAGGCAGCTGCAGGAACACGGTACGAAAGCCATGAGTTGGAAAGCATAATTACTTATTTGCGTCAACAGTGTGTGTTGCTGTGTTAATGACATTACTTATAATGTCACTGCGCAACTCTAATGGAAACAATGGAATATGTGACAGTGGCCCTTTAAAAAACCACGTTAATCACAGACAGGCACAAACACCATCCAAAAATACATACATACATATATATAAAATCAATAACGAGAAACATACCGTCTTTGAGTCTAATTCGTGGTGTGGCTGAGCTAAGACTTTATCTACACTGGCAGCATCCGCAAACGTAACGAACCCAAATCCCCTAGAAAAAAAGAGAGAAAATTAAGTCAGAGCGGTTAGAGGAGAGAATAATTACGACACATATGTCTTGCTAAATATCATGTGAAAAAGATAAAAATAATAGCGCAAAAGAAAGACATGCATGTAAAACTAAGACGCCGATAAAACGGTACTTGGCGACTGCATAGGGGAAAAAAATAACGCTGCCTTTTAACACGCCCTCAGCCGTATACAAAAGGTTACTTTTTAAACAGTTACAATATTTATCAACAAGCGAGGGAAACATGGATCGGCACTTTGAAACATTTGTAATTTTGTTTGCTTAAAATAAACCAGACACTGCCGGCGAGGTAAAGCAAAAAGAATCCGCCTGAAGTCCCAAGTCAATGTCAAATTGTATCACCTTTGCAAAGCGCCGATTTAATTGCGGACAAAGCACAACTCATGTGTAAAATAAAAGTACTGGATCGCCACAGTCCGCCGTGCCGACCAATAGGAGGGAAAAGTGCATCTGTCATTGTGTGAATTTAAAGTAAAGTGAAAAACGAGCACCCCCGAAAACACGTCCCTTTTTTTTTACCTGGATCGCTTGGTCGTGGGATCCCGCATCACCATGCATTCTCTGATCTCCCCGAATTTACTGAAATAGTCTCTAAGGCTGTCTGCAAACGAAACAAGAGGGACATTATTTTCTTAGTAAGCAGTTTCTTTTTTTTTACTGAACAAATGCTGTTTCCTCGATTTAAAAACAAGAGGAAAAGAAGAAAAGAGACGACGGCCGATGTGCACAGGGGTCGAATAGAGGACTCTAAATGAGTGGAAATTTAAAATAAGACACGGGCATATCCCGCAAGGGCAATGCACACGCCGCACATCGCGACTGGCACAGGCGGACTGGCTCGGCTGCAACAACAACACAACAAGACAACTCAACAACAAAGGCGGCCGCTCGGGCACGGACGGAAAAATCTCTCACCTGGTGAGGTCTGCCAGCTGAGGCCACCGATAAACATTTTACTGTAAGGGGAAAACACGGCACAAGTGAGTCCAGATGTCAGATCGGCCATTTTGACGTGCAGCTAACTACTTAGCTAGCTACAAAAAAAGAAAAACAGCGAGCTAAACGAGAGGCAAGGACAGCAGCGAGAGAGCTGTTACAGCTAGCCCAGAAAGCTATCCTGGAAAAAAGAGGGGGGGAGGCCCCGTTTGCAAATATGATCAAACAAAGGTGTAGTTAACTCACTGCGTCCAGGAGACACACATTTGCTTGTGCACAGGCGAGGACAAATTTGTGTCTGAATAATGTAGCCTCAACAAAATAATTAAGGCAAAAAGTGTCGCTATAATTAGCTCCCTTACCCCGGGTCGTGTTGTGAATCATTCGGGCTTCCAGATGTGGCTTGGCTTCCGTCTCCCTCCATAGCTAACCCAACTATAGCCAGTAACTAACAAACACACACAGACGCGGCAAAAGCTACACGAAGCCCCGCTAAGAGAATATTACTGAGCCGGGAATGCGATCGTCACACGTGGGATCAGCTCAGCCTGGCTCCCTCCCCCCTCCCTAGACCCACATGGGGCGGAGCAAGGGCTCGTCGCCTAACCATTTCGATTGACGTCAGCGCGTTGGCCCCGCCCACATTCAGCTGAAACGCCGGTTCTGATGACTTTTTTTTCTTCTCTCCCTCCCGTGAGAAGCGACGCGAGGAAACCATTACATCATTGATATCGCCGCGCGCAGTGAGCGTGCGTTAATCCCCCGTTTAAGAGCAAGATGTCTTCGAAGGTATAGCGCGAAAAGGCGTCCGGGGGACAGTCGGTGACTTCAGATATAGCCCCTGCGATCCAATGAGGTCACATTCCCTAAATAGAACAGAAAATAAAAATTATTCATCTCCAGCCAAGTCAGCATGTGATGCTATCATACAGATACGGACGGATATTAATAACTAATGTCAATGTAAAAACAGCGACAAACACTAAAGACACAATCCATTCATAAGTCAGTTTCGACAACAAAATAAAATGATTAAAGGGAAAAAAAAACATATAGTCCTTCCGATTCATGTACTAAAAACAATGCTATCTATGCTTGAGGACTACCTTAACTGTCATTAACACTAAACATAAGAATGATTATTAGTGTTTGCTCGCAATTAATAAAATTTGTGACACAAATTACATCCTGTGTTGTTTTTGTGTAACAGTATACAATCATATGCAAAGGGCCGTGGTCCTATAAAAACCATACCATTTAAAATGAACCACTTCCAATTTCTCTTTCTGACAACGGGTATGTAATGCATCTTACGCGCACAGATGCTTGCTGTGGTCAGCAGCAGAAAAGCCTGATTCATGCACACGTGCCGTTCTGCCACAAACCAGGCCACAGAGGCAGCAGCAGCAGCTCTGCAAAGGCAGAACACAGCATGTCTGGCAAAGCTCAAGAAATACGGTGTTGGAGAAAGAGAGACAATAAGGCTTCGAGATAACACTGGAGCTTTTTGTCACACATTAAGGCAGAAACAAGAATTTGATTATTTAGAGAGAGAGAGAAAAAAGATTCATCCGTGTTCTGTGGCTAGTTCAAGTCCTGTGAAGTAATTATATTATTTGTACTGCATTTTCCAGCCCTGAAAACGCTGTCAGTGACGAGACAGTGAACCCCGAAAAAGACTCATTAAAGAGCATTGTTTCTTTAATGCATGCTATTGCCTTTCAGTCCTTACAAAATGGGCTGTTCCGTACACAGCAATTTGAATGGGGGGAGAAAACAGAACATCTGCAATCTGTGACTTAGCACAGGTGTATCAGAGGGAACAAGAGAGAAAGCGACCAAGTAAAGGAGATTGTACTGCACGTGGTAATTTTCAAAATCTCAATACCGAGGCTTTTATTGCATGCGCTGAGCTCGCGGTACTTGACCTTCTGTGGAGTGTTCATCTTATACAGGAATTACGAAACTACGTAAGGGTGTTCTGATGCATAGAAGACCAGTCCGCGGGTCTACTTTTTTTTAATGAGACTTGTGAAAATACACTGATGTGCAAAAGTCTCAGACAGTTTAAGAAAATTATGTTTAAATGATCTTCATGTTGGTGTAAAACTATGATATTACATCCATCGAAGTGTGTCAGCTTAGCCATTTCAAAACCTCTGGTAAAATCACCCCAGCATTTGCAGCAACCATCCAGTACACCAGAGTATTTTTTGATTCCACCACTACTAGCACACCTTGTTTGGATAATCAATACATCACTGAGTTATTTAACTAATTAAGTTAATTAGCTAAGAGAGTTGGTGATGAAATTTGACAAACACACGGAATGACTGAGTGGCCCCTGAGGAGAGGATTGGGGACCAAAGCGGTGCATGTAGCCACCTAAGAAGATATCGGTAACTTTTTGGAGAACAGAAGAAATTCTTGTTCATTTTTATTGTGTTACTCTCGATTTGCGTATGTTCTAATGTTACATTGTTTTTTTTTCCTGAACAAATATACCATTACTACCAAGATAAACAGCTTTGAACATTTTCTTTGATTGCCTAAGACTTTCACACAGTGTTTTTTTTTCTTTTATGATTTCCCACAGATGCACCCTTAGATGTAACACAACAGTTTATTCCCACAAAGTACACAACAGCAATCAATAGCAACGTGCAGTCCGAATTAAGACATGCCTGATCTAGACTTTGTCCAGGAGTGTCTATTATGAATGTATGTTTAATATAAAGTAAATATAGATGCACAGACGTGCCTGCATCAGGTATATCCATTTACATTTTGTATGCCATTTACAAACTGTGTGTCATCCATTTTTCATAAGAAGATCAAAATGACATGACGTCCAACAAAGAGCTCAAACAATCGAAAAGTCAGATTCTCCATATATGCAGATTCGGCCTCCCACAGTGTCGCGGCTCCTTCGGGATGACATTCCCTAAAATATAGCCAGAATCCGTGGCATTTTAACCAGTATCAGCTGCTTAAATCGTCCCAGTACGTCACTGCATGCTTCCAAACTCAGAAATGTACAGGCAACCTGAAATGAATGTAAAACCGAGGTCGCAGTCCACGGCACATGCAAATGTGCCTCGTCCGTTTCGGTTTAATCATTGAACGTAGCAGAGTTCCGCAACTCACTTCCAGAACTTCTACCCCTCAGTATAGCAGCTTAATTACAACTCGCTTTGACGTCAGTAGTCTGTACTGCTTCGCACTCACTAAACTTTCACAGGGAATAGATTTTCACACTTAGGTCTATTAAGTGTTAAAATGATGTTTAAGAGAGATATGGGACGGGGCGGATTGGGTGTTGGACTTTGGGCAGTAGCTAATACCGCGTCTGATTGAGCTTATCACCGTCACACGCACACACTGTCCTGCCTGTAATCGTGGTGTCGTTCGCTTAACCCACTGTGACGCGCAAGATTCCTGCAGCCGCCTGGTTTTCACTAATAGCGGCGCATGCTGGCCGTAGTTTATTAAGCTGAACCAAACGTAGATAAGCATCTTTTCACAGGGTTTCCTGAAACAAGCTCTTAAAATGTAATGTTTGAATGATGTTGTCAGGGGGGGAAAAAAACAAATTTCTTGAGCTAGTTCATTTATTTTATTTGTTAAACAGAAACAAACTGAGTAAAAAATTAGTATTCAGCTGAAGATTAATGCACAGTTTATAAAACTAGCTAATGGAATAACAATTAAATCTCGGCAGAATGCATTAAGCAGTTCGCTATGTGCCCAAGTTCTGCCAATCTAAACCTTAATATGTTTACAAAATAATCTGTAATGTGTTTTGCTTAGTTTGATTCATAAGAAACAAGTGGTAATACGTGTAAGATTGAAGTTAAAAATTGTTTTGGCTCTATTATTTCACGTTTCTGGAGCTTATGTAACGTCAGTAACAATTAACTTAACGTTGTGCTTGGAGAATTTAATAGTCCAGATTTTGATCTTTTGCTTCTTGGAAAGAAAAAAAAATCATTTTCAAAGGTTAACGTATGAGATTAAAAAACTCTAGTTAGTCACCTACAATAAAACTGGTTTTACCTGAGGACGGGAAAGTAGCGGGGAAAATTACGATGAGTGTCCTTTTAAACGTCACAACAGTTCTTATCTAAAAGTCAATTGAAATAAATTGATATTGTGCAAGTACATTCATTACTGGGAAGAGTGTGATTTGAAGGCGCTTTTCATTCGCTTGAAATTACCCAGTCATTTCATGATAAAGAAATTGCATTAACTAGTAATAAGTTAGGACATGTAAACACATCGGTTTTCACTCGGAAACCTTGCAGCTCCACCGCTTCAAAACAGATGTGTGAAAATCAGTGAAGTAGCTTTTCAAGCTACCGCAAAAAATGTAATTTTCTTACGACTAAACCAACGGGTCGCGCCTGTCAGCTGACAACTATGTCATGTTAAACAATTGTAAAATAGCACATAGTTCTTTTTTCGAATTCGCCCCGTCGACGCAAAATTATATTTAAAAAAACTGTTATGTATAAAAATGACATTTGGCGAAGAGACAATACAGCATTATAGAGAAACAGAAAGCAAAGGATTGGAAGATCCTATTACAAGCTCTAAATATGCATGCTCATTACTCAGTAACCGGCAGAAGCGGGCCTGCTTTTCCATTAAATCTGAAAGTGAGAGCTCAATTAAGGGGAGCAGCTCAGTGGATTCGGAGTCATGCTACAGTGATTGCTGTTTATTTCCTCTCTCTTTCCGAGCTTCACGGCTCGAAAGGCGGCTTACCGTCCCCCTTCTCCCCAACCCTCCCTGTTTGCTTTTCATTTTTTTTGCCCCCACCCTCCCGAAAGAAATCCTCCAGACAGCAGTTAAGTTTTAAAAAATACTGGAGGGGGCACATCAAGGCAAGGACTAAGCTAAGTTGACACGATTCCCCCTGACTGGCAGGTGAATGCTGCTGTTTCACCTCACTGAGTAGATCTTAGGAAACTGCAGCAGTTACGATATATATACGATATATATATAACGCGTGTTTCCGCAGGTAATTTCAGCGCCCTTAATTATGAATACGTTCACCGTCTCCGTATTTTAGTGCAGAAATTTAAACAAACGTCAGAAAATTAAATGCAAATTTGATACAGGTTGGAATTAAAATAAACACAGTTTTAAAGTGTTAGAAAACCTCAAAACACAACGTTTTTTCTAGGTAGCCTAGGAACTGCACTGCGTTTTAAAAAAAATCGGAATTAAGCTGTGCCACCACGATTTCCAGCCAAGTGTGGCACTCGAAACTAAAGGAAAAGCTCTTCGAGGCCGAAGACGCTTAATCCCAACCTAATAGTTTGAAATCCCTTGCCCTCTGTCTGAAGGCTTGTTCCTACCGGACGGAGTTCAGTTAAATTCGGCTTGGCCCCTAGGGACCGTCCGCTAACCTCTGGGGCTTTGCCAAACAGGACGTCACTGTGGTCCCTAACCCCCCCCCCCCACACACACACACGCCCCAATCGCAGATTAAACCACATCTCAAGAAATAGCCAGAAATGTGAGGCGCCCAGAAGACGTTCTTGAAAACGTCTGGCATTTAAGGATCACCCTCCTTCCGCAAGCTGTTACTGCAGACCCATAC